GTCTGAAGATGAAAGGCGGAAGACTTTCGAAACGTCGTCCTCTACACTTGTGTCTCTACAACAGACAGTTGCCGTTCATTCTACAAAGTTTCATTATGAATACTCTGCCTAAACAATCTATCAAATAATGATAGAAGTTCATTACAACCAGTTAACCTGCTTTAAACAATAATTAGATTATTTTATTAGCTAGTAGAAAAAAAAACACACACATCATAGAACAAATAAAAATATAAACACATTTCTTTCTTCTGCACCAATGTGAGTCATTTAAAAGCCATTGCTTCATTAATATGAAGTACAATAATATTTTATGTGATGGATTAGAATACAATTATTATTTCCTACTGTACGTATGCTTGGGGATGAAAAGTGTTCTCATCAAAATATTTTATTGGCCATTTTGTTAAATATGTAACTAAGCTTAAATCTAAAGAAACTAATTCTTGACTAAAAAATGCATGTGCATAATTGATATGCAGATAGCAGCAATCTTCACAATACGACATCATAATCTAAATCCATGGTCTGAGAAGTATACAATGATTTTGTAAAGGTAACATTGGTCTGTATACTATATAATATGTGAATGTGATCATGGTCTGTATGGTATATAATGATTACATACATGTAACAATGGTCTGTATAGTATATAATGATTACATACATGTATTTAAAAGCGCTAGACATTTTGACTCAAACACGCTGTGTTGAAAACATAACGATGGGCTATGAATGATTTCATCACCCCTTGAATGTTAGCCTACGAGAATTTTTTTTTTCGGAAGATATTAGCAAATGAACAAGTATAATACCTACATGCATTACAGAGACAATTAGGGAATGTAGGCAGTAAACTAGTAATAGTAATCTACATTTCATAACAATGACCATCTACAGACACCATATGTGAAGGGCAAATCTAAAAATTAATACACAAACAACGATTGATGAATGTTAATATTTGAACGATAATACTGATGATAGAAAGAAGTAAATTCAGTAAAGCATTTAAATAACTATTCCATTTTAACGCTCGAAACCATGAACACTTCTGAAAGTAAACTGAAGCCTAATTGAAAGTCATACATAGGTACAACACAAAAGGTGTCATACTTCGAAACAGAATACAGGGAATTGCACATTTGTAAATGTTAGGCCTACATTCGTTAAAAACAGTCTTAGTACTCCAAAAGCTCGCAAAGGCTAAGGTTCAATAAAACTGGAGGCAAGTATGGGTTTGGAAGAGGATTTAAAACAGTAGCACCACTAATTTACGTCTATAAGGCACCAACAGTAGCACCATCTAATTTACGTCTATAAGGCACCAACAGTAGCACCATCTAATTTACGACTTCTCATGGAAAAGTCGAATACTGCTTATGTTCATGTGGCCATGGTCTGTATAGTATATACTGTTTCTGTTAATTTGGCCATTTTCTATATAGTATATAATGTTTCTGTTAATGTAGCCATTTTCTATATAGTATATAATGTTTCTGTTAATTTTGTCATTTTCTATATAGTATATAATGTTTCTGTTAACTTGGCCATTTTCTATATAGTATATACTGTTTCTGTTAATTTGGCCATTTTCTATATAGTATATAATGTTTCTGTTAATTTGGCCATTTTCTATATAGTATATAATGTTTCTGTTAATTTGGCCATTTTCTATATAGTATATAATGTTTCTGTTAATTTGGCCATTTTCTATATAGTATATAATGTTTCTGTTAACTTGGCCATTTTCTATATAGTATATAATGTTTCTGTTAATTTGGACATTTTCTATGTAGTATATAATGTTTCTGTTAATGTGGCCATTTTCTATATGGTATATAATGTTTCTGTTAATTTGGCCATTTTCTATATAGTATATAATGTTTCTGTTAATTTGACCATGGTCTATATAGTATATAATGTTTCTGTTAATGTGGCCATTTTCTATATAGTATATAATGTTTCTGTTAATTTGGACATTTTCTATATGGTATATAAT